GCATGTACATACATGAACCATGTGCATGTCTGACGCCTGTGGAGTCCAAAGAGGGTGTTGGGTCCCTAGGAGCTAGAATTCCAGATTGTTATGGACCGCCATGCAGATGCTGAGAATTGAACCCGGGTCCACTGCAAAAACAAGTACCCTTTTTTAAAGTCATTTTTATTTTTATTAATTACAGTTTATTCACTTTGTATCCTCCCTGTACCTCTCTCCCTCCTCCCCTCCCTCTTCCCCACCCATATCCCTCTCCCAGTCCACTAATAAGGGAGGTCCCCTTCTCTCTGATCCAAGTCTATCAGGTCTCATCAGAATGGGCTGCATTGTCTTCTTCTGTGGCCTGGTAAGGTTGCTCCCCCCTCAGGGGGAGATGATCAAAGAGCAAGCCAATCAGTTCCTGTCAGAGACAGTCCCTGTTCCCATTACAACGGAACCCAAAACATCACTGACTGCTCTTCCAGAGGTCACCAGTGCAATTCCCAGCACCCATGTGGCAGCTCACAACTGTGTGTAAAACTCTAGCTCCAGGGTGTGGCATCCACAAACAACTACTCTTAACTACTGAGCCATCCTTCCTGCCCTGAAAAGCTTTCTTTTAAATTAGATTATGTTGCAAAAACTGTTTTAAAAAAAACTTTGTTAAAGTTTCTCTGTGATATAACTTTATTTTCATGTTGTGATGAAGAGTGCCACTGACCTTCTCCCCCCGCCCCACCTTTAAACATAGACAATCTCTAAGACTTCCTGACATCCATCTATTTGCCTCATAGGAACCCGAGTAGAATGAGAATGCATCAGGCTGTGAGGGGAGCCACTCTGGACTCCTGCCCTGCCCAGCCACAAAGAGAAAAGAGTGGCTATCTTCATCCCTAGCAACCACAGGAGACCATACTTCAAGTGAGTAACGTGTCCAAGGTTATTCAATCAAGCAGTGGTCCTCAAACAATATTCTGTTCATTAAACCCACCAGGAAAGACACCCCAACAGGTAGGCCCAGCTCATCCCCATACCACAGATCTCATTACTCCAATCTGAGTTTCATTTCACGGAGGGAGCAGCAAACCACTCGCCCTGGGCCAAGTCCAGCCCTCCCTTGTATTGATAAAGCTCTAACAGCATACATCCAAGCCCACATACATGCACATATGCACATTTGTGGTTTATGGTGTGTGTATGATTAGTGATATGTGTAGCTTATGGTGTATGTGTCTATGTGTGATTTATGATTATGTTTATATAACACATTATATATGTGTGGGCACATAAATGGGTATATAAAGTTTATGTATGTGTTTTATGTGGTTGGTGGTATGTGTGGTCTATTGTACCTATATCTGTGTGCATATATGTGTATAGATATGTTTGTGTGATTTACGGTGTTTGTGTGTATATATATGGGTGTATAAAGTTTATGAGTATGTTTTGTGTGATTCATGGTATGTGTGTGTATGTGTATACATGTGTGAGGTTTATGGGTGTGTTTGTGTGGTTTTACTGGTGTATGTATGTTCATGTGGCTTGCAGATGTGCGGTTTACAGTACAAGGTTTGGAGTGTATGTGTATTGTATGTCTGTGTGGTTTACAGTTCCTTCTAGGTAGAGGAGTATGCTTGCTTTTAGAATGTGTGTATGCATGTGTTTGTATAGCTTATCGGGTATGTGGGTAGTGTAAGTATCTGTGTGGTTTATAGTTGATTCCAAGGTGTGTGTGTGTGTGTGTGTGTGTGTGTGTGTGTGTGTGTTTGTAGTTTATGATTAGTCTAGGATGCAACTTCAGAGCTTATAGTTCTGTCACATACCTTCTAGCCTGAAAAGCCCAAAATTATTACTATCTGATCCTTCATGAAAATAAATATATATTGGTCAATTTCTAATTTAAAGAATGATCGACTATCTAAATTTTGCTCTGTGCTTCAAGTATTAGAATCCTCATCTAGCTGTTGAATTATTTCACTTGACAGGGAGACTGGTAAAAACAGTTGTCAATGTTTGGATCAAATTCACATTGTACAAAGAAAAAACTCAATGGCTGCATGTATGGCTCAAGTTGGCACTCTGCCTGCCTGCAACGGCTGCACAGAGTAGCCTCAGTCCTTGGAGAGAACACTGTCACAAGCACAGAACAAAGTGTGTAGGTGAAATGCAATATGCCTTGCTCTGGAAGAAGTCTTTAATTCAAGGTTGAGCAGCCACCACTCCCTCCAGCACCCAGATTCCAAGAGTCTATCTGTATTCCAACGGCTGAGCTAATCCTATTTTCACCAAAGATCCAGACATCATTTACTGGCACCTTGCTTTTCTCATAAATAAAAGCCCTCTCCCAGGCTCCTTCACTGATACCTCTTGAAAACTAAACATCTGAAAGGAAACAGAGTCTCCTGAACGCTGACGTATTTCACACAAGGGTCTTTTGAAGCTAAATGCATCTTACAACAACTTACAGCATATTCAGAATTAAATCCAGCCTTCCAACTCCTCCTGCAAATGTCTAATCATCTGTGACACTTTCATCTCATTTTTAAAAACCTTTTACCATGGAAATTTTCAAAAATGCAAAAATGAAAGGATAGTCCCCAGCTATTACTGTCTACAAGTATCAGAATTCTGCCATTTTTCCAGTGGATCCCTCCTCCCAACGTTTTGTTTACTACTTGTTAGAGAATTTGAAAGCTGATTTCACACACCAAGTCATTTCACTCATGAATGCTTATTTCTGCTAGAGCTCTTCCTTTCAAGAAAAACATGATACCATTATCACTGCCAAAGAAATAACAATTCTTAATATTATCTAATAACCCAATCTCACTTCAGTGCCTTTCCTTTTCACACTGGTTCTGTTCAACCAAGGATCCAAATATGACCACATACTGTGTGATTGGTCTATTAGGTCTCTTTATACGTGCCATAGAGCGCTCTAGTTTCTCATTCATCCACCCCTGGTATACATTTAAATAGTAACTGGATGAACAGATCTTATCAACAGTAACACCTCTTCAGCCTTGGTACCCTGTATGCAAACCTGGACCTTCACAGGCCTTTGAAACCCTTAGCAGACTCCTAAGTGCCCATCTCCTACCTGCAACGCCACCTGAAAACTGAATGGAGACTACCTCTCTCACTTACACTCTCAAGAGTATTCAGATTGCTTCAACAAGCCAATCTTAGAAAATCCCATCTTTTCTGTGCTGCTCTAGCCTGAAGGCTCTAAATCATTTAAAAGCAAGGCACCCCCTCATCATGCCTTCTTTTAAGATTATCCAAACATAATCAAGAATCATCAAGTAAATTGGGCAAGCTTTAGAATCCATTACTGTTATCAGTATATTAGTTTGCACCTAGACCATGCAGGACATGTGATTATAAAAATGGATGACCATCCTACCATCAGCCCATAGGAATCTGACCTAAACCAAGAAGCAGTGAGTCATTTTCAGGGGTTCTCAACCTATGGGTCACAGCCCCTTTAGGGGGACAAATAACCTTTTCATAAGGTCACTTATCAAATAACCATCATATGAGATATTTATGATTCATAACACTGGCAAAATTACAGTTATGAAGTGGCAACAATAATAATTTTATGGTTGGGATTCACCACAAAATGAGGAACTCTATTAAAGGGTTGCAGCAGTAGGAAGGAGGAGAACAAACTGCCCAGGGAGACAATAGATTACATAGCACCCAGACTGACAGCTATGTCCCTGCTACTGAGTGAAGAGCATCTGTAAGGTCAGTCTGCACGGTGAAACAGAAAGAACAGGGGTCAGAAGGGATAAATTTGTCTTCCTTACCATCAGTGCTATAGTAGCGGATACATTTGGCTTCTCTGGTTCTCAGCCTTATCTGTAAGACAGGCTAATCCAACTTACTTTACAGGGCAGCAGCCAATATTTACTGAGTGTTTATTGTGCACAAGGATTCATGTCACCTTCTTTGATAGTTTAATCTTCACAAAATCCCTCATTATGCAGCCCTGACCAGCCTGGAATTCACACTGCACACCAGACTGGCCTCAAATCCATAAAGGATTTATGAGGTGGGCTGCTATTATCCTCATTTTGCAGATGAAATGAGCTCTAAGTGATATGGCGACCTGCCCCAGATCGCACTGAAACTAGAGTGACCCAGGACTTCGCCTGAGGGCTGACTCTACAGTCAGGCCTCTTCACCATTGACTTGTATTTTCTCCTCAAGTGTCATGGTACATTAATAACATTGAGCCCTCCTCCCAACTCCCATCCACCCCAGGGAAGAGATAAAGTATGCTCAACACTGCAATGATGTACCAACATTTTTCAGTCAACATCAACTCTTATCACTAGGGACTTGTGCATAGGGAAGGGAAGAGGGTCATCCTCAGGGCTGGAAGTTCCAGTTGACTTTGGGAATTTGTGTTGGCTTCATTGACCAGCAAGCCTCCCTGGGCTTGATATTTTTCAGCTATATCTCTGCTCCTATCTGGCCTGTGAGGGAGATCCGGGGAATAGTGGCTATTTCTAGTTCATCTTTGTTAATTCACAGACCCAGCAAATGGCTTGAGCAGGTAGATGTGTTGGATGGAAAAGGCAAAGCTTCATTCATTAACCACAAATTTGAATTTGCACTTCGAAGGTGTCATCTCTCTCAGCTACTATCCCTTAAAATTATTCCAGAGAAATAGAGGAGGCTAGAAGGGTCAAGTGGAGGGAAAGGGTCAAAACGAGGGAAGCATTGGGCTCCGTGAAAAGGTGGGGTTATGCCCACAACTACAGCAGCGCTCCCACCATCCAGCTACACAGAACGTTCATCCCAGCTTGGGACTTGCTTTCCCTCTCACAGCTCCCAAAGCAGCTAGGGAAAGTGACAGTCAGACAGTTTCCAACAGACCGATGTCCTATCCACCTGAGGAAGCGGGATCGAGACTGGCTCGACCCTGAGGCTCCCGCCCCGTCTAAGGACACCCTACAATCCTCCGAGAGGGACCCACGGAGGGGCGGGGCGCCCCAACTGTTACTTACAGTCTTCTAAGTCATCCTTCAAGTCCACAAAGTACAAGGGGATCTCTGAAAAAAAAAAACAAAAGACACACAGGAGTTATGCCGGCTACGCGGTTAGCGGGTCCCGAGCTCGGGGGGATAAGTAGGGAGGGGAGAACTCCCAGGGAAAGGGAGGGGAGCCACCCGAAGCCCCCGAGCCTGGGCTCACTCACCCGCCATCTTGGGTTGGGGTGGAGGGCAGGGCTGGAGGCGGAGCGAGAGCAAAGGTTACGCCCATCCGCCCCGCTCTGCCCACCAGCTTGGCCCCACTCACCCGCCATCTTGGGATGGGTGGGAGGTGGAGCTAAAGGCGTGGTAACGCCAAGATTACGCCCCACCCAGCTCCTCCCACTCCTCAGCGAAGATAGGGCTGGGGCGGAGCTGGAGGGTGGGACTATGCTGAGGCTCCGCCCCCAGTGCCCCGCCTACCCTCCAGTGAGCCTCGAGCCGGCCGCCCCGCCCTCTCGGCGAAGGTGGCTGCCGAAGTGGGCGGGGAGGTCAGGTGACCCAGCTGGCGTCCCAAGATGGCGGCGGCGGTGGCGCCTGGGAGGCCGAGGCGGTGTCCGGGCTGTTGAGGTGACTTCGCGGGAAAAGTGACGGGTCGACCGGACAGAAAGGCTGCGGCGGACGCACGGCCGCCCCGTGTGCACAGCCGGCGCTGGGCAGTGCAACAGCGGAGCCGGGGGATGCTGGTGCTGGGCCGGGCCTCTCTCTCCTCAACTTAGGGCGGCGGCGGGCCCGCACCCCTGGTTCCCGGGCCATGGCGCTGAGGGAACTCAAAGTGTGCCTGCTTGGGGTGAGTGGCAGCGGGCCGGGTCCCGGGGATCGCGGAGGTCAGGTGGGCGGCCCCCGGCACTCCAGGGCCCCTTGCACCCCTTCCCGCCGTGCACGGGACTCAGCCCCCCCGCAGACCCTTGGAGCGGCCAGACCACCAGACTATCCCCCTCCCAAGGCCCCAAGGTATCGGAGTGACCCCCGGAGCCCCGGAGCGGTGCCCTCTTTCCATTCTACAGTGAAGCAACCCGCAGGTAGTTTCCTTTCAACTTTGAGAGGGACACTTTTGAAGTTAGCGAAGTCTGTCAAAGTTTACCCCCCGGCATGTCTTTAGGTTTTATGAGCGCCCTTGGCCTCCTTTCAAGCAGTATGGGATGGTTTTAAACTTTTGGTACGTCTTTGACACTTTTGCAAGAGTTGCTTTCCAAAGTTTGCTCTTCTCGTATGGAAGGGAGGAGTTCATACCAGGAAGCCTCCAGGACTTTGAAGGTTCAGCTTCCGGTTGTCTCAGGATATTTTGGCCTTCTGATGGTCTCCTTCCTGAGTTTCGGTTTTAATGACCGAAAAGAATTCCAATAACTGGATGTTTTTTGCCCCTCAACAGGGTGGGGCTAGGGTTCGCCTGGGATTACTCAGGCCCAACGTGGGAGCCGGTAATTTACTGGTATATGATAAAAGACCAGAGAGTTCACTTTTCACATAAAGCAGAAACCAGAATCTTTCTTCGTTGGGAGAGAGCAGGAGCTCAGTCCTAGAAATTGAACCTAAAACTTTGTTCATGCTAGGCAAGCACTATATCACTGAGCTGTGTGTCTCCAGCTTGCTTGCTTCTATTTTGTAGCAGGATCTCAAGAAGTTGCCCAGGCTAACCTTTAAATCTGTGTAGCCTCAGCGGCCTTGAACTTGGAACCCTCCTGCCTCAACCTCCCAAAATTTGTTGGGACAGATTTGCAGAACTCTCTTTGTAGGCTCAGAGATCTAACTCCCAAGTACTGGAATTAAAAGCATGCATTACTCGGCCTGGCCACATAAGACATTTTGAAATATAATTACTTCCAGAAGCCTGCCTTGTGTCTCTCAACGTACGAAATCTACAGCTTAGGATGCTTTTTCTAAAAGTCCCCACTTTATGCCACAAAGTGGTTTTGGGTGTCTGCAAATAGGTTAGTTTTTCTTCAGTCACCCATCTTACTCTCTTTCAGGATACGGGTGTAGGTAAATCCAGCATCGTGTGGCGGTTCGTGGAAGACAGTTTTGATCCTAATATCAATCCAACCATAGGGTAAGAGAACAAGTTTATTTAATATAAATCTAAGGGTGCATGGAAAGTCATTGCAAGCAAAAATATGTTACTAGTGTAACTCCTGTTGTCTTGAGCTCAGTGAAATTGTGAGTGCCTGGGTTCTTGACAGTTCCAAAATGACTTGAGAGAATACAGTGAGGGTTACTGTATCCTAGGAGAATTATCTTCAGACTTTGGAAATAAGAACTTCAAAGTAGAATAAGGAATCAATTGACACAGGAGTTTACAAACCTAACTATGCCTTAAAAGAAAGTAAATGAAAACACATATTGAATCAGTTCTTTGGGGCGTATCAATTAAAATCTAGTTTTAGCCCTTGAAAAGAAGTAGAATTGGCTCCAAGCCCTCTTGAACATTGTAGCGCTGATGACAGTGACGAATTAATAAATGAACTTTGAAATGTTTTCTTGGTGGTGGTGGTGATTGGTTGGTTAGTTTTTGTTTTGTTGTGTTTTCTCTGGGGGGTCTCTGGTATTTTTTGATTGTTGAAGTTGACTATAGAGTTCTTGAAGATTTCATTAGTTTTGATTAGGTATGTGTGTGTCTTCGTGTAAGTATGTGAAGGTGGGTGCCCACCCTTGAAGATCAGAAGCATCAGATCCACCTGGAGGTGGTTGCGACTGCCTGCTGTGGGTGCTGGGAACCAAACTGTGGTCCTCTGGAAGGGCACTGTGTTTTAACTGCTGAGTCATCTCCCCAGCCTCTTATAAATTTAATAAAAACCTTTTCTAACTGTTTAAATGTCATAGGGGTGGTCAAGGGACGAACACTTCATTTTTCTTTTTGAGAACTTGAGCTCTTATAAGCCCTGATACTATGTTACGTTTGTACAACTAAATGATGATTAGATGCTGTTTATTCTGAAACTCCTGCCTGTCAACTGCTTTTTTATCTTTAAAGAAGACCTGTGTATGGTCCACCACCAGGATGTCATATGGCTTTGAGCTCTGAAAAGACTATTCTCTGCCACATAGGGAAGGACTTCACAGCAGTGAGGGCAACTTCCTTAAGACTGACGCTTAAGAATTTGTTCAAATCTCTGGGTTTTGTACACTTTTGAGGGGATGGAGATGAAATCCACCATTGTGGCTACAGTTAAGATAGTATCCTTCTAGAAGAACTGGGTGTGTCCACATGTTTAAAGTATCACCTCACACTCCTCTGGGCCTGTTGGTACCTGCACTGCAAAGTGAAATGATGGGTAGTGACAAGAAGTGCTGATGCATCACTGAGTGACATACTTTGTTCACACTGAGCCACAATTGAAAACCCAGAACCCATAAGTACTGAGACACCACCTCCTTTACTATCAGATGAGGAGAGAGAAACTAAGAGTACTTCTCTTGCCTTGGCTCAGTCAGGCTCCCACTGTGTCACAGGCTGTAGTCTTGACTCATATTTTTCAGGAAAAACTACAGAGCCCTTTCTCCTTTAACCTTGCTTCCTTGTTTCTGCCTCTAACAGCTTCTTCCCTTATGAGTAACAGCCCAGTGGCCCATGTACCTCTCTGAAAGACCCAGCTCTTCATCACTTTCTCCCTCTTCCTTCAACTCTGCTGCCCATCTACCCTGCTGTGTTCCAACAGCATTACCCTCCAGTCCTGCTGCTTATGCTGGGAGAGAACCTACCACTCTCTCCTGTCACTCTTATAGCCCATTGTCCACACAGTTCCACCCACCATGTCATTAAATCCATCATCTCTACATACTAGTCCCTAAGAGCCACCTCAAAAACAAAGTGGGTATTTTTCAAAAAGCTTTCTTCATTTATTGGGTACCAACCATGTGTCAGGTATCCTGGGTGCTAGTGATTGAAACCTGGCATCAGTCAACTGTAGGCTTGTCCTCTGCCTTCTCCCTTTGTAATTAAAACATTATTAAAGCAGTCACAGCTGCCTCTACTGTTCACAGGCTGTCCTGACCAAAGGCAGGAGTCCTATGGTACACAAAACCAGGATTTGTCAGCTGGCACTCTGGCAATTTATTTATTTTTGGAGCATGGTCTTATCTAGCCTAAAACTTACTATGTAGCCTAGGCTAACTCAGTCCCCTGCGTGCTGGGAAAACAACATGAGCCATCACATGTCTACCTGGCACTTTTCAGAATACATTTGCTGAACCCTGATCTGGACACTCTGCTCCTACCATGATGTAAAAGTGTAGCTTCCCTGTAGGTTAAGAGAGGCATGTTCTGTAACTGTTGTGCAGAAAATGACTCTTTAGCATCTCTCTGATGTCAGCACACAGCAGGCCATGGCCTTCCTGGGCATGCTTGGTTCCTGCAGGGCCCGTGGAAAATATGAAACACTTGGAAACACTCATATTCGGATATTGAAAGAAGAGTGGATAGCATGGTGCGATAGCGCATGCTGTGATCCCCAAACTCAGGGGGGCAGAGGCAGGCAGATCACTGTGAGTTCCAGCCAGCATGGTCTACAAAGTGAGTCCAGGACAGCCAAGGCTACACACAGAAATCCTGTCTCAAATAAATAAATAAGCAAACAAATAAATGAAAGAAATATGAGTGGATTGTACTTTGCAGAAAGTTAAGAAAGTATGTATTTGAAGAGAAGTTGCTAGTAATGAGATGTGGCAGAAAATAATCTGAACAGCCCTAGCAGACTGAAGGACTAGCCAGATAAAGGAGGAGCCTCGAGGCTAGCAAGGACAGAGGACAAAGAGTAAGACTTGCAGGAGTGGCCATCGAGACTGTGGGATAAGGACCAGGCATGAATCTTTAACAATGGGGACTTCACTAACATGACAGGTGCAGACCAAGTATGAAGGAGTGAGGCACCTTTGTCTTTGGTTCCCTCCTTCCGCCTTTGGCTGCACTCTTCCACTGGTACCTCTTGGTCTCTCCTACTGCTGAAGTAACTATTGGGGTTCTTCAGATCATGTCCTCTTTGTTCCTAAAGTGCACTTTCACCTGGGTCATGTGACCCAAAGTCCAGGCCTTTTTCTTGGCCACTGGCCCATATCTCCAACCAATAATTTAGACTTAGCTCCCTAAGGAAGTGGATATCTATCTCTCCTCTCCTAACGCCCTCACTCCTAAATGTGTGTTCGTCTTCAATGGCCCAAGTGGGTTAAGAATTAGGGAGGAGCCTTGGCTGCAAGAACCTTCCTGTACTTGAATTGGAAAACCTTCAAGTACAAAGAACCTTATGTACTTGAATTGGAACCTTGGTGAGGGACCTCAGTGAACACTAGCTGAGAGAATTTCCATTAGGGAATACATTTGGAGGAGGTGAGGCCCTCATTAGAAGCACCACTATGATGAGCTATGGTGATCTTTGGGAGCTCATTGTATCCCTTGGGTGTGCTAGAGTAGTGAGATTGCAGTCACTGTGGGCATGTGGGTGGGTCCCACACCATTAACCCTAAATTCTCCCCTAAGAGCCAAGCTGGAGTAGCTTCTATTCACCAGCAGCCTGTTCCCTCAGTCGGCCCACAGACACCTGGGAACTCTACATGCTTGTGACCATACTTGTGAATAATCCTTGAGAGGCTTGTTCCTCTTTCCCTAGGTAGGGAGCAGGACTAGCATGTCCTCAGATAGTAAAGGTGAGCCTCTTGCTCCCAGCAAGTAGCAAGGCACCAGTTCTCATTCAAACCCCCAAACTGTCACCTGACATGGAGGCCTTCAGAGTGACACACAGACAATAGAGTATCTCTGTACTGCAGCTCTACCACTTGCTAGCCAGTGAGCCCATAACAGTTAAATCCATATAATCTGTTTCTTCAACAAAGTAAGGGTTGTGACAGGACCACCTCCTTATTATTCAGAAGGTTCAAGATAATGCAGGAAAAGCATTTAGCAAAGAGCTGAAATGGTTAGAGCTCAATAAATGATAGCCATTATTCTGTCTTAGTATCTTAATTCTTTGTATGTTTCTATGAGCTTTATCCCCAGTATGCTTGTCCTTTCACTAGGAAAGTTGAAGGCAGGAGGATGAGAAGTTGCAGGCCAGCCTGGACTACATAACAAGATCTTCTTTTTAAAAGAGAGAGAGAGAGTTGGGGAGGGGGAGAAGAGTAGTTTTGCAGAAAAGAATGGTGTCATAGGCCTTTTAAGTTAATCTAACAGCCGTGTCTACTCTGACCCATTTCTTAGAGGCAACCACTGTTGCCATGGCATGCAGCTATTTTCTGATCTTTCCTCTAGATCTCACAAGCACACATACACCGCACCACCTCCTCCCACTACCACCACCAATTTTAGGTATTATCTGCTGATTTTCTCTTCAAAATGTGGAGCCTAGCTGTCTTCCCACTTCCTGTACATTTCCCTTCCCTCCATTTTGCTATTACAGGTCTGTCGTTGAACCTCAACATGGCAAAGGTTTAAATACACACCCTCACACCAGGCTGGCTGTGTATTTCCCAGCTCTCATTGTACTTAGTTGTGTGCTTGGTTAAACTACTTAATCTCTTTGTGGCTACATTTGCACATTGGGAATACTCTGTGGTGTCTTGTGGAGGTGGTTGTAAAAATTGGGTTAAAGCACATAAACTTGGCGTAGAATGGCATGATGCCTTCAAACCTTGGGCTGTTTGCTGGTCATTCTCACTACCTTGCGAGTGTCACTCTATGGTCTGTGGACTAGACATTCTTTGGTTGTGTCTTGCAGTTATGTATCTTATTCTGTGACAAGCCTTTGCACTCTCTGAATGGTCTTCTAGTGAACAAAGTTCCTATTTTGAGTCTGTCCACCTCCTATCGCTTGATTTCTGCAGCTCCGCCTTTTCCCCTACCCCAGGTAGCTACAGAAGCTTTTACCAGTCTGTTTTTAGTTTTCAGATAAATACACTTCTGATAATGTTCTGTCTTGAAGTTAGTTTTTTCTTTTTTATTCTTTTGGGGGTTACTCATATTACTGCATGTATTACTAGCATGTACCTCTATATTACTAAGTAGTTTTCCATTGCATGGGATATACCAAAATGTATTCATAAACATTAGATTTTACAATTTTT